GGCAACAACAACAACAATAGCTTCGCCCTGATACAACAATAGGTCACATATCTCCTGTCTCCATTCAGGTGAAATCTTTGACGGTTAACACAAATGCGAATATACAGAATATCGTCATAATAATTGGATAACAATTTATTAAAGTACAAAGATCGTGCAGTATAGATTTTTTATTTTGCCTGCTCATGGATTACTAGTAGAACGATGATACATGGTCTTTGTGATGGCATACGAAACATTAAACAGGCAAATTCGAACAATAGCTTTGGAAAATGACGCCTATTAGACACTACCCCCAAGTGTACAGTACATATACGTGCGAAAACCTTCATATTATTCCATACACACGCAATATTGTCTAAGACCACAGTTATGAGCGAATGTCTCTCGCTCGTTTACTAGATTGTTTGATGCTGTTGGGGAGTCGACGGTAATTCGTTGGGTGGTCGCTTCGTAAATACTTACATCTCGAATGCAGACATCGATGAAATTTCCCTTGTGTGGTTTGTCAGAGTAAACGCACCCTTCCAGAATCGGACGTCACCGATATATCACGTCATCTTAGAAACATCTCAAGATGTGTCAACTGTAAGATTATTGTTGTCAAAATTCAAATACAATTGACGCGGACTGACAAAATGCACGCATCAAAATCAGACTGACAATATCTAGCTCGACGTTTTCTGACAAACGCAGCATTAGAGCACCGTCCGAAAGAGTGTTCGCAGAAGAAAAAACTTCCGCTTCTCAGGCGAAAGGTTGAACAGAACGACAAGGAACGCCTTTATTTCCACGTTGGTTCTGTCTCGTGTATACTTTAGATCGGTCTGAGCGGGTTTTTCCGCTAAATACGAAAACAACAACAAACCTTATATTTCCTATGATTGCGTTTTGTTTTCCGATAGCTACGTTGAGCTGCTGCTCGGGATCTTAATTCTTACGTATATAGATAGCTGGACGAGTGGGTCACTCTTTCAACTCTAATTAGGTAATTTAACAAGGCGTATACTAGCAATTCGCTGTAAAAAAATGATTACTTTTTCTATTATTTTATATATAAAAATGATACATAATCGTATTGCTATTTGCAACTGAGTTTAAATCACAGAGGAAAAGCGGTTTATCATTGGATACGACATCGCAACTTCAGTACTCACAGTATGTATTGGTCATACATCTGGCACAAATCGTAGGTTGTACACGGGATGATCTTGAATCGATAACAATACATACATAGCCAATTCATGCTGGCCTTCAGTTTACCAGCTTCTAGAAAAGTTTTGGTGTTATCAAACCTCTCGAGCTTTCAGGAGTTGGCTCGCTATTGCAGTTGTATCTTACTTTATAATTTTGAAGTTATCAGATTGCGGAGTTCGAGTCCATTATTTCCACTGAAAGTTCCACGTTTTACCACTGAAAAGTCTTTGGACACGCTATTGCTATATAGCGTAAATGAAGAAAACTGGATGTGTATGTCTCAATTCTTTTAGAAAAATTAGGCTCGTATAAAGTTTACTTCTAAGAGCTTCGGCATATTTCATTTAGCATGTTTGTCCCAACGCCGTTTAAATGAGTGGCGACACAAAATACGAATGATTTGGAATATAGTCTTCTGTTGCACATAAGACTAAAGTGTAACAATCACAATCCGAGACGATCCATGTCTTTCAACTCCCTTACTTGTCTTTGATAGATTACATCTATCAGGATCTTCTCCGGCTGTAAAAATTTACAATAGTGACGTGACCTTCGTCTCTAATGGGGGTGGGGATGGGGGGAATCAACGGTGTGACACTCACATCCAGTACACGGTTCGAGTCTGAGCAGCCACATTCATAAACTATAACTTAACGTGTGTTATTAATTACTAGTTAAAAACACTTTAAGAGGATCAACAACTGGGTACGTAACGGAAAATATATTCGTAATATTTTAATAATTTGTGAACTGCTTACGAAAAATAGGTTCTACGGAAACACTGGCGCTCAGCACACATTAACCTCATAAATATATAGATCTCATCGACTATAGATAGTGCAACTCTAAAAAACTTGAGATTCTGTAGATTCTGTGTATGGAAATTCTGCATTATGTACAATCAAAACGACGTGTTACATTTATTCAATTGACCTTCGTCTTCAGGCATAGTTTGTCCAGCTTATAATAAAAGATGACCAATCATGGATTTTGTTTAAGAGAAGATCATAAATATAGAAACACTGGCTTATAAGCATTACACTTAAACAAAGCGAAAACGATCAATGGGCACGGCATCTTCACTTGAAGCAACATGGAAGGCATGAGCTGATCCCCATGATCTTCGTTTGCTTTTTGCGGCTGTTAGTCACCGAGTGCTGAAGCCCACAAGGATCTGCGAGGATAATAGTTGGGCGAAAAATAAAAAGCTTTTCGGGCGCGTGAGTGTACGCTAACGACTCAGAACCTTGTAGCTAAGTAACTGTAGCTAGTTAACGCGATAACAATAACGACAATAAGTTCCAGCAAATTAAAGCTGAGCGACTTTGATCTAGTCGGCAATATTTACTAGAAAACTTAAGAATGGCATTCTTAAAGCGTCACGTCTTTTGTTCAACTTCAATGGTATCAGCAGCAACTTGGTTACAAAATATGCCCTCGTTAGTTGGGCATTGTCTTTGTGCCTTATATTCGTTAACAGTTACATGTCGTCGTAGACATATTCACTGTTCACCCTCGTTGCAAGCCACCAACTATAATGTATCTGAGGATATCTGAGTCTCTCGGAAAAAAATGGTTTTAGAAGAACGAATTGTCGCTCTTAAACTTGCTCTTTATTCAGGCGCAATTATTCAAAAGCAGATCTAATTTATGTCAACAGTACCAACTTCTAAACCGATTTGCCCTTCTAACAGTAACAATGAATGCACACGGCACTCGCGTTACTCATGGTCTCTGTGCTGTCGCCGGTGTGTTTGTACGATTTCACAGATTTCGTTACAAAGTCGATTATCTTCGATAGGGTCATGATGCTTATGGCAGATGCAGCAACGTCATTACGGTAGCTTCGGCGGTTATAGCGGCAGATACTACGATGGACGGCTAGCGGTAAATTAACGAATCCAATGCATAATATCACTATCTCGGTTAGTCTCCGACGTGTAGTGTTCCCTGTTCTTATCATATTTGTAAGCTATCGCAGTAAATAATAAATATCTGCCATTTATATTAGACTACTACAAGCAACCTGGTAAGTCTTTAAAATTGAATAATTTTGGAACTAGTTAAGCCAGAATGATCATTTTTGATATGCATTAGAAGCACACTTTTGTACATTTAATACATTTGACCTAACGCTTCTACAGCTTCTCGACAGCCATAAGCCTTCACTAGAGTTTCGATATGTAATTTCATTTCTTATCTATAGATTCTCGAAATAAATTAAAGGTTCGATATGCCAGCTGCCCTTTGTAGGCCATGGAAAGCCTTACATAATCATACGGACCTGAATCAGAAAAATTAGCGAGTCGAAAGCAATTTTGGATGTTTCTATGCTCAGTACAGGAACTAATTCAGCCATCCCTCGTCTATGCTTCAGAAGTGTTTTTAGTTGACGAAGGTTCCGCAAGTTACACGTGGAATACAGCACACACATTTCTAGCTCTGTTTTCGTAAAAAGCATCCTCGACTGCAGTAATGCGTTCTTGTCCTTCAGGTCCCGACATCTGGTCACTATCTGACTAATCTTCAACGTTCCAATCTGAATTTTTGAAACGTCCACACGATTCACGTACTGTGCTTCCCCTCAAGGTCTCTTTGCCTAATGTTTTCACCGATCGTCGATGAATTTTCGCAACACTGTAACTTCCATGGAATAAAAACTTGACGATTGAGTGTTGATTTTTTAGACTAAAAGGTATTTCCCCGTCTGAGCTCGTTTGTCCTGGAGTAAGTTTAACCAATTTTCTTTGATGATTTCACACAAAATGACTGGAGTATATACCAGTCAAGTTTCGTCCGCTAGCAACGCGTAATTTAAATGTTCCTCATGTTCAAGGTTCAGCTTGTGTAATAAACGTAGACCACCAGTATTTTATATGTTGTATGCAACGTTTCAAACGTATTTGAGTTTTCTCAAAATTGTTATATCTCTATCCGTTGGCTAAATTTTAGAATTAAGGACAGTTGATAGCGTAAATAGAAAGAAGTCTAGAAGAAAGCTTGAAACGTCTTCTCACCCACAGATATGTCTACGTTCTCTCTACTACCAGGCTGTAGATATATCGATAGCAATACAAAATATACCTAGTATCGCTTTATATAATTTTTGCCCGAATGTTTAATTATATGCTCCAGCGACAGTAACACGGTCGCAATCATTGCAAAAATTAAAACACCAGTTTCAATAACCTACATTGGCATCTTGGAAAGAAGGCACTAAGGAGGGTGATGTATCTTTTCGCTAGTTTTTTTTCCAGTTCTTAAATAAACTTTAATTTAATAAACCTTGATATCTACCAAAGAACGTTTCTCATGAGATCGCCAAGCAAAAGAATATGGCAATAATATCAAATAAGAATTGTTACTATTGAAAGATACGTTGTGCTTTAACTGTTTGCTTAATACAGTTTTCCCCAACGAATTTTGCACTTCTAGGATAAATTTCGTACTGGAAGAAAAACGAATGTGAAGCGAAGAAGTTTTCAACTGGTATATTTCGAAAATGTTCAATAATTGTTAAAAAAAAAGCTATGTTTTATTGGTAAATTTTATTCGCTTAATCGGTAAAGTAAATTCTGTTTTTTAAATGCGAATTGTATGTGCACACAAAAACGTGATGCACCCAATGAAGGGGGTGACATTTTATTAGTGTTGGATCATTGTACCCATTCGGTAAATATTGGCTTACCTTCTCTTCGGCCTTTGAGTGACGTCACCGAATTGCTCTTTACGTAGAGAATCCCTGACGAATCAGAAATTGGCATAACAACCGAGAATCTATCGGAGTCAGTTGTGCCGGACTCTTCGGGGCAGCGGCGAGGGAAATAGTCGGTGCGCGAACATAAATATGGCCTCGCGATCATTGCAAAGTCATTCCCGAGTTGTGTCGCAGGCATTCACCGCTAAAAGTAAGTTTTCCTTTTAACTTATCGTTTAATTGAGCATTTTGCTTAAGGCATGAATACTCTGCGCTTATAATCACTTACAATCATCTCGTACCATTGTGAACAAACAGGCAAAGGTGTGTTTCTGGGCGTACCATATAAGCGAGACGCTATGTGTCCACGGGTTTCTCAATGCATATATCAATGCAACATTTTTACGATTGAAAATTAATTTTAAACAGTCAGTTCCCACTATAAACGCTTTTGCTTTTCGTGCTTCTCTCTATAGGAATGATGGTCAAACTACTTGCCCTTCTTCTTGTACTCGGCCTCGTGGCGACTGTGGCCGCCCAATTCGGCTACGGTGGTTATGGCGGCAGATATCGCGGTTATAGCCGCATATACGGAGGTTATGGCCGCAGATACGGGGGTTACGGCGGGTACGGCCGCCCGTACGGCGGTTATGGACGCGGTTTTGGTTATGGTAGATATTACGGGTAAACGCTATTTATTATTGGATTAATATTGACGATGCCGAAATCGTTCGATGAATCGATTGTCTAATTGGCTTTCCAACGAATATTACCAACGACAAGTTTTCTATGTACAGTTGTAAAATAAATCTTTATTACGTTTAAATCTATTTAGAAAGTAATACGTGCTGTTCTTTTTTTTGTTTGCACGCGAGCGTATGTGTGCACGCTATATTATAATACAAATCTGAACAGATTTAGGAAAATCAGTTTCGCTCAGTGTAGACACATTGGATGTATGTATATAGATCGCACACAAATCTAACAAACAGGACGGTTGTTTAGTCTTTTACTACTGAAGATGTTCGTTCTTTAGAGCATCACCGGTAAAAGCTTCGGGATTCTTTTTCTGACTATTCTGTCATCTCATCTTTTCGCATGAGGTATACGCTGTTTATTCAATTGTATAATGTAATAAAAAAAAAAATTTGTATTTGCTATAATTTACCTGTCGGAACATTGAGCCTTTTAATGCTTTAAAGTTTTTGGTAAGTTACAGAGTTACTAATGTATGAGAGTTCACTCTTGCTTCGTTTCAATAACCCATGATATAAATTTAAGGAAACATAATAATGGTGGGGCAGTTGGATGGAAAAGTTATAACAACATAACTCTATCGAACGGTACTTTTTGTACCCATTTTAGCCAGCATTACTTTGATAATGAAATAATTTAGGTCATAGCTACTAGAAGATCTTTTAACCATTATGTATTACTCAGATATCGGACATCGTCAAAACTGGGACATCTTTTTCTAAGCCCAGAATTATTAATTTACGCTTTTATCTATCTATTGTTTCTATTTATTGTTATGTCGACCCTTCATTCGTGGCAAAGTTATTTTATAATAGAGGAAACATAACCGAGGAAAGTGACGAATCTTCTTTCATTGTCATTCTTCTATTAAGAGCATTTTGTCACGTTCTTTATCTAAAGCAATAATGATTATTTTGATGATCGATTTTTCTCCCCTTAGTTTACGGTTACTCTTACATTACTTAATTCACTGAAAAGTCAGACCAAAGAGCAGGTTAGCGATCGTGAAGCGAAGCATTATATGTTGCCTTTTGGAACGATGTGTTTTGTTAGTTAAATGGCTGTGGGTTTACGGACGTCTCAACTTGTCCTTGTCTGTGGGAATAGTAGATAGAAGTCTCCCTCCCAAATTTGAGAATGTCGGGAGCTGTGTGCAAAAATGTACACGTAAAATTTCCACTGAAGATTTTTGCTGCACTATAACCACGAACTGATGCACTGTCGTCATCGGTCAATAATGAGTTTAGAGACAATAAATCGTCCAATAATTAAGTTTCTGCTTCTCAAAAGTGGGTGAGTACACCTCAGAACTTCAAATGGACCTACGATTTGTTCCCGACGGTTTTGAGCAAAACACAGTGTAGGCAATATACTTTCGATCAGCCCAGTATAGGATTCCTTGAAGTACGTATTATAAGGTAGTAACGAAAAACACTTGAGGTCAAGAAGAGAAGCAAAAAAATTAGCTCGTCACGAACTGAGTGTAGGACAGATGAAAGCCCGTGTTGCGTACTCTGCAAACGATTTGCGCAACTATTACCAGCAAAAAGAGCGCTTCAGCGTGTGCTATCACCGTAGACCAGGCATCGTAGAGTCAGTACAGTACATGAGAAATACTCGAGAGGGAGAGAAAAGGACTTTTTGGGCAAAGCCAGTTAGATACGGGTTTAAGCCTACTATTTTCACTCGCTTATGAGATATCTCTTGAAAATGAAACCGACGATGTTCCCACATATTTTAAATCCCTGACGAGCCTCATAGATGTGCGATATTATAATCGATAGTGCACAGTGTGGTTACTTCACGACAATGCCCGATTTGGTCGACACGCTTCAATCACTTTCTGAAACAAACGAAGCAGATCCGGCGCTTCAAAGTGTAAACTATAAAGGAGAGTGCATTGAACATATATCTGCCTATATATTGTTATTTTTTTATATAATTTAAATAGTATTCGAGCTTTTCGACTGGCTAAAACGGTTTGGACAGCTATGATAAAATTGAATTTCGAAGACATGCTTTACCGGAGGCCACAAAATAACTGACGACAAAAACAGTTAATTGATTCATATAAATTAATTAAAACTTTATACGTGGATGCCTTTGCAATGTTAAATCAATGAACAGATGTTGCCAGATCGATCAATTTTATCAAACCTCAGGCGATTTTTAATAAACTTGTTTATCAGAGATGGAAACACCACGGAATAAAGAAGGCGCATTATTTGAAGTGAGACCGATATTAAATAACTATTTGCCCACCAACGTAGCCCATGCGATTGCAGTTATACTGATAATTATGTCGATAGCAAAAATACAATAAATTGTGTCGTAACGGTTACTACTGTTGCATAGATTATTGCAATCATCGGCATGACGTCTCAAGGTCAATGCACCTGAACAGTGAGACCTTAACGTTTCACATAAGGCCAACGGTGCGCATTTTCATTTATTTTATATTGGTATTTTCACTTGTTGAGGATAGCTCAGCTTCATCTTCGTTCTTTGTTTTAATTATGAACACACACGCAAATTGTATTTATTTTTATCCAAAACATCAATAACTCCTTTGTTATTCGCTCGTCAAGAAATAGCCCCTGCTATAATTTACATGTTTGTCCAGTTTGTCGAAAGTGAAACGAGCATACAGAACAATCGTAAACAACCATAAGCAATACCTACTTTCAGATCTCGCAGCAGGAAAATTCACACGAGCTGCAGATAAGTTCATCTTATTTTTCAGTGGCACAAACCGATAGCTTTTGTTTCTTTATGTCGTATTTTTATATATCTGTTGTTCTTCCAATTTTAGCTTTTTTTTTTTACATGTAGTCTACCGATTAAGTTTCTTACAATGAGATCACGGGACTGTTAGCTAACAGTATTCATTCATTTAGACACGAAATGGTTGATTTCGTCAAAAATATTGACGCTCGCTTCTCTAAGTATTCCGAAATATTTTGCAATTGAAACGCAAATAAATTTATACCACATTTGTTTAAATATATTATACTTGGGAACGTAAATCACAAGATGTCTCACACTTTGTTTCGAAAATGTTGCTTTTAACTATTTCAAATTTTCACTGACGTCAGTTAAGTTCAAGTCAAGTTTAGGTCTAGTTCATCTATACTCAAGGTCAAAGTTTAAATTCGTTGCAATTATTTTATCACCCTGAAGGAGTATTTCTGGTTTTTTCGTCCCAGTTAATCTTGCTACTCCGTTGCAATTTCTCGTTAAAGCCCTTCGATCGCTTAGGTACTTACTACATAGTCTGAGTTATTCTATTACTCTATAGCGTTATCTTATTCTCATATCTCGCTAATTCGATCACACTGCTTTACAGTGATACCTTCCAATACCTTACTATTATAGTTAATTTCCTCCAGTGTCATGCTCAAGTAATCCCGTAATGCTGTGGCAGGTGCCTCATACGCCTATATAAATATCCTCAATTGTGCATTTGCAAAATTTAATCAGCAAAGAAGCATTAGGCAGCTACGCACTGTAAAAACATATTTTTACTTACTATTGCATAGAGTTCGCAAAAAGAATCCTGTTTTGCAAATTATTAACTCTTGTTGATAAAAGTGTTCAAAAATGAAGTGTGTTTTTCAGACTTACATACAAGTCCATAACCTTTGTTTTCATATTCGAGCATGAAACCGATTTTTCAACACATGTCGCTTTTATTATAGGCATTATTTTTTAAGGCAAGCAGCTGTGTACGAAAGCTTTCAAAAATGTTTATATTTGTCTTTAAAGTGGTCATCAGTTACTCACATATCTATTCACAAACACTTATCCACTTAATGGTATAGAACAACAGTCATATTACCAAAAAAATATTTGCATAATATTTATTCGTTATGAGATCTTCGGTTTTCTATAAAGAGCGCCTTTATTTATTATTATTAAAGGATAGTATTTGTACGTAACCGAATCTGCATTCGGTTGTTCGCAGTAGTAACGTTGAAATTCTTTCAACATTATTACATACGCTAAATTTAATCCTTTTTTAGAGCTGCCGTTTCCCGACTTTAGCTGAACGCTTTGTTAGCGCATCTGAATTGTATCGAAAATATCTTCTTCTAATAAAATCATGGGCAAACAGTTTCATATAGAACAGGGGGTCATCCTACGTAGAGTGGAATCTTTTCGAATTAGCCGCTGAAAATATGCGCCTCTAAGGTCGGAGCTTCGCTAGCTAGCTAGAACCATCTATATTATCAACGAGAAAAAGAGAGAGGCCGCTGGTGCCCTCTCCACGATAAGCGTCGATGTAAACAACGCAAGTATTTTCATTGAAAAGAATAACACGTGTTCGAATTCTGCGTGAGAGCCGGACTACATAGCTTCATTAGAGCGAAACTTCACGAGCTCAAATCCGTCCATGACTGAATTTGATATTCGTGTACAGAAAGTTTTTACAACGAATTCCAAGAAACAGAAGTGCCAATTTTTTATTGTATAGCAGTACCAAAGGGTCGGCCCAACGTACATCTTAAAAGGTAAGAATTGATAGCAACTGACAGCGGGCTCGTATATAGAGCATAGAGATATTTAAACGATGGCAGTTCATATACGTGAAATTTTTGTCGTAAATAGAAAGAACGGCCTTCCATTTGGGCAGATGAAAATACATTTAAACCTGTGAAAACTAAGCGCACGCTGTTCTTTAAGAAACATTAAGGGCACATTTTGAAAATTCCCGTATTTAAATTCAAAAATAAGTGTAATGGATTTTATCACGGTTAACCAAAAGGTCACAGTATGAATCAAGTGTTTTATGAGCAACGGTTGCTATAAAAACTTCTTGAGTACGACAGGTTCTGAGAACCCTGGCAATAACCGCAATAGAATTCGTGTTGTCCAAGTAGTTGAAATTATCAGAAACCTTGTTTTACGGGTAAACGTAGCCATTAAACCCGTTAGAAGTATAGTAAAACTGATAATAAAGAAAACTACCTATTGAGGTGATCGAACCCAAAAAGCGCGTCGTAGTCTTTACCACGAATTTTAAAAATGATGCACAAATCTCATCCACAAAATCACATCACATAGATATACCGGACGTTCGATTGTTTAGTCTGTGGCCGTTCAAAATATCTTTCATCTGCTTTCACGGGCCAAACCTTAATCCCATTTACTCATACGTTCATTCTACTTTTTTAAATTTCTCCGCAATTTAGTCCAGTATGATGCCAGAGAAGAAACGCAAAGTCGAAAAATACGAACAGGCTGAGGACAATGAAGAGGCCAGAAAACAGCCCAAAGTAATCCCACATTTGAAAAATCAGGAGCAACGACTCATCGTTGTTTTAGAGGGCGCAAATCTTGAGGTAGTGTGCATTAGCAGTAAGACTATTTAGAAGCTGTTTCTGTAGATTAGTTACTAATGCAATTTATAATTTGTAAAAATATCTTAATCTATGGCTTATATCGCGTATGCAAGGTAAAATTAATCATAATATAACCCAAGTAAGTGTGCTCTCTCTCTAGATGATCTAGCTAATCCTAATTTTAATTTCAAACAATATTCAACAAATGCTCCCTCAAGTAATGAAATTTAATATCGAAGTTTAAAGTTACGGTATATTCTCTTTATATAATCATAATATAGATATATATATATTATGGTATACATCTTTAGTGCAGTAACATATATTGAGTTATGGCCTGCTTACAAACTGTGTTGAAATCACATCGATTATACAGATATATTTCTACAGAACATTTTTTCTTTGGCGGTTATTAATAGGTGATTAAAGTTGGTGAGCGTTTCGAGCTACTAAATTGTGATGACCACCTGAAGCAGATGAAAAAACATGGAAAGGATCCGGCACATGCGCGTCCGGATATTACACATCAGTGCTTACTAATGCTTTTTGACTCCCCTCTCAATCGGGCCGGATTACTGCAGGTATGTCCCACTGACCACGAGACAATAAGTACGCGTAAGAGCTTATATAAGGTTCTTGTTCATGGGATCTGCTAAATTTTCGAGCCAGTGTATTCTTTGTAGGTCGATTCCATTGCAGAGTGATGCCCACATTGATAATGATAATTACAGGACAACCAAGTGAGGATAATTATTTTAGATCGCTACAAGTATGGCAGAAAATACAACACTTTGCTATCAAATATTTCATACGAATAAAGCAAAATGTTGTTGACGCATGAATTTATACAACCAATAATTTTATGTACGAGGTTCTAGCTGAGCTGAGGCATTGATACAGCGCAATATTAGTAAACGTATCTTTCATTGAAGCGTGATCCAGCTAAGAAAATACAGTAAATAAGGTGTTAAAAGGTTGAAAAAGACAGAAAATAAGGTGATTGTTTAGGCACCTTTTTTCTGCGAAGTAAAGATGTTGGGCTTCCGTAAACTACAATGAAGCTAGCATTTATGTACAGATCGTGTCATCAGTCTGATCGCTGTTGTCTGTCTAGGTAGAAAACGCAAAGGAAAACTGCGAAAGCATTTTTTTAAGCATGAGGAAATGCGATTTGTTTTACTTTGTTATATTTCAGGTATATGTACATTCATCGAAAAACGCCCTCATAGAAATAAACCCTCAAACTCGAATTCCACGAACATTTAAGCGTTTCGCTGGACTCGTAGTTCAATTATTAAATAAGGTTCGTAACTTGAATACGTATGTAAATAATTAACTAGCGTTAATAAATCTATTACTCTACTTGATAAGTGAATTGAGATGGCCTAGATAAACACACATATTGCATTTAACTTAATTTCTTTGTCTAATTCTATGCTTGTCATTACATAAAAAGCGATTATTGAAACCAGTTAATCAATTAAATGAAGCGCAAAAATATTGTTTGCCCAATAAAGCTAATTCACCTTGATACACTCATCTTATAGATCATGTTGCAAAGGATAAAAACATAAAAATGCATAAAATTACTTGTTCAATATTTAATATTTTTTATATTATTTATAGTGCAAATTATGTCAACCATCTAATAAAGGAGCTAAAAAGCTCAACTTTTATCAACAAATACGGGACATAACTAGGAAAATCCTGAGAGCAAACAAGACCACCTTTTTTCTAGCTGCGGCTTCTCCATTCACATAGATGAGCGTTCGGGCGGCGGACTCTTCAGTAAAGCTGATGAAGATCATTAAGAATCCAGTTTCTGACCATCTGCCAATTGGGTGTAAAAAGCTCACGATGTCATTTCATGCTGAAAAGGTATTTTTCACTTCAGTTTACTGATAGTTTATGCAACCTTTATGGCAGCTCAATAACAATATGATGCAATGTCCAATGACTAAAGTAAATGGCGTAATGCTGGGTGAATAAAATGCTTTAACACAGAACGAAATACTTGTATAGAAAATAGGATATAAGAACGAAAGACAATATCGCAGTCTTAAAGACGCGTTCTGTATTTTATAATCGAATGATTTTTAACAATAGATTCTTCCTCGCTGCTTCATGTTGCTCTTTTACTCGAAGACTGTACATCCAAGAGAATTGGTACCCGCGAGCGGCGAACCCGTCGTGCTGGTGATCGGCGCGATGGCCCATGGATCAGTGGATGTTGACTATACAGAAGACACATTTTCTATATCTGACTATCCGCTATCAGGAGCATTGGCCTGCTCTAAGATTTGTACAGCTTTCGAAGAAAAATGGGGCATCCTTTAGTCAGGCATATTCAGACATCAGCTCGTAAACAGTGGTTATAATTACTTTTGCTATCTAGGCGATGCGCAATATTATTTTAAGAAAACACGCAACGTCATCTTGAATCAGCTTCTAGGGTTTTTTTTTCTGTTAGCCTGATACGTTTGTGTTACCATAACGACGAAAGTGACGAAAGTAATAGATATCTATTATAAAGCTGGCAGAAAGCAGCACCACTAGTGGCTTCAAAATTATGCAAAATACTGTATAAAAACAGAACCATATTGAATTACCAATGTTCTAAGTAATTTAATGTACAACGAGTATTGTGTGTACAGGCTATGTATTTATATATAGTTGGTTGTTTCATTTTTTTAATAAATATTGAGGTAAAAAAGAACATATATTAGCAATCATTAAGTACGTATTAAGCTATAATTCGCGCTTAATCCCACAAGAACCGAACCTCTCCATTGTTCGTTCACCTTACGTTAACATAGCCCTGAAAATCGAGAATTAATAATAAAGCTGAAAATTCAAGTTATAACTAAATGTGACTATTATTTGACTTATTTATCGTAAACCGATTTTCCAGGTCATACATGAATCTGTTCTAAATAAGCTACCCAGATAGTCGTGGAATTGAGCAAGAATATTTCGTTTTTTAAAAATGGCTCAGTAAAAAGCAGCGCTCGGTAAAGAAACGGTAAAGGTGTTTATTACACCAAAATATATTATTTACACTTTGAAACGTCGCATGGTAATGACTCTAGAGTTGATCATGTTGTTGTTTTTACCCAAAAAGCTGGTAACCCTAAAAACATAATTGGTAGAAAAACCGCTGATAATGATCACTTTGTCAGCACAAAGTTTGATTTAATATTAGAGATCCAACAAGATAGTTGCAGCTTGCCATCTATTAATTAAAGGGTTACGTGCGCCGCTTTAAGAGCATCCACAACCCAAGAGGGATAGTTTTTGTCAGGATAAGCTTTTCCCATGAAGTCTTTGATGAATTCCGGGAGTCGATCCTCAATAATAGCTTCTCGTATTGACGCCATCAACCGCATCTGTAAAATACAAAAAGTCGGGCCCACTTCGTTAAACCATCACCGTATATGGTTGTTTCATATATAATAGTGCCTAAATAGTGCGTAGAAAAAACTTGCCACGTAAATGAGCTTTGCCCACGTTTCAAAAGGCAACATTTGTTTATATGCAACCAAGGTACCATTCGAACAACAACTTTTAACTAACAGTATGCTGCATTAACAGAAACCCTATTTTTGGCACAAATTGTACCTCTGCTAGAGGACGACAACTAGCCAAAAGGTACCAGAGGAGCACTACTAACAACGAAAACATTGTATTACGCAAAATGAACGGATATTCGAACTTATGCGCTGAACAAAATGGTTTACATGCTAGTCCAACAGCTATTTTGTTTTGTTAGGAGATTTCTTTTTTAAATCATTTAAAATATTATTGTTAATTTTGTAGCATGATTCTGTCACGGAAGGTCATCCTGTTTACGTGTTCAAATATTCAAGGTGCGCACCTAGGAGATCAAAGTGAACTCGAAAGCCAAGTACAAAGAGCATCACAAAAACTGACAAAAAATAATTGTAAGTATTTAGGATAACATTAGTATTTCGATGTTTGCTTGTTAGCTAGCAAACGGTGAAAGAAATTGGTTTTTCAAAACTTCTGTAGTTCACCAGTTAGGCAGTAGACACAGTTCAAGAGTAGGATGTGGCGTAAAGCATCTTACACAAAAAGCAGCTTAGCCGATCCATGGGATATCGCCCAAAGTTGATACTGATTGCGAGGCAACATATTAGAGCTTCAATGTAAGCGGCTGCAGGTAATGTATCGTCTAGGATAGCTGCAGGTACTTATGACAGATTTTCTGTTTTTATCTACTGCTTGTCAAAAGATATCGGTCGTAGAGAAAGAAGATTATGCCGCCAATAACGAAAACGATAAATTTGTGTTCTTGGCATTCAGAGCAGTTTCGTGGGTATGTCGCTGGCTCTGAAAAGGCTTATAGATTTTCCTGTAAATCTCCAATGCATTTAAACATGTTATTGTCCGTGTAGATTATCGAATACACCCGTGGGGGCGTTCCGAGTCGTTGGCGGTCCCAGACAAACACCTTTGAAAATTTTATTGAAATTCTTAGCTTGAAGTCAGAGAGAATGCACAAAATACCAATGATCCTTAAAAATTGTGCAACGGGCTTTAGAGCCTGCTACCTATGCACAAAGTTCTGAAATTTACATAACAATACATCCTAACGCACAGTTTCGACAGTACATCGTAAATTCAAAAGATAGCCACACTTCTTTTTTTCTTAATTTAGTTCAAATTAATTTTTCTTATTAGTCTGAGGACTAGGTGACATAAGTCTAAAGCCAACTTGATTAGATGTTAGAACGTCGTTTAGTTCTAGAAAAAAGTTTGAACTATCATTTAGGAACGTTGATTGGACAGCAGCTTTCAGGATCTCTCATGAAGCCCATTGTATTAAACCCAGGTCCCGTTTGGAGTATATGAATGCGTTTCTCTTTCTCGTAATGATTGCTTCAGGTTAATTACATAAACTAGAAAAGATTTCTGACTAGGGCTTTTTTACCTTAAAAGACAAGAACTGTAAAGTTTGTACAGTTTTCTACGCACCGCCACCGTTCGCATGAAAAATTTGATAGCATTGTTGATAGATACACTATTAACTCTAGAAGAAGATGTCAGAATTGTTGCACATCTTCAAAAATAATAATATTCAATTACCCGAGCGCATTTATTCCAAGGCTATAACGATTAGAATTAATAAGTCTTAGTCAAAGGCATCCATATACGACCATTAGCATAACTATAATACTGCATTTACTCACCTGAAAATTGACGTTGTGAATAGAAACAAGGTGACATGCAATCGTTTCTTTTCGGACAATATGGTGTAAATATGCCCTTGTGTAATTTTTACAGGTGGAACAATGACACGCTTCGTCAATAGGTCGTGTATCATTTGCAAACTGCGCATTTTTAAGACTTAGTTGATGTCCTCCTTCGAGCAGTGCGCATCCAAACCTAGCTGTTCGAGTTGGGAACACGCAGTCAAACTGGTCACAACTAAAGAAGAAAAAAAAATTGAACTTCCTTTTCGCTTTTGGCATACCCAGCAATCATAGCACTTATTATGATGTGTATGTATAAATAAAGCCAAATAAGCCCTGCTTAGACCTGAACAAAGGATGTAATACCGATTTTGCGCCAATGATAATAAATGAAAAGCAAATTTACGTACCCTAACGCGACGCATACAACAAGATCAACCGCAAAGCCAACACCCATAAGATATCTTGGCTTATCGTCTGGTAAAAGGTTTGTAGAAACATGCACCATTTTCCAAAAGTCTTCCTTCGTTTCCCCTCCACTTAGTCCTCCGATTGCGTAGCCAGAAACGTCACGCTCTAGGAGTTCTGAAATAAGTTGTGCATGATCAGATATAATACGTATACAATAATATGTTTCACCGTAAAATGCATAAAGTATGCCAGTCATGGTAGGAACAAAATTTTATATAGGAAATACGACGATATAGGAGGTAATATTTTAACTTATTTGTTCTGGATTGATAAAACGGATCTCCATTATATAGATAAATTCCCACATTGCCAAAATATTGACTAAAAAAGTAAACCAACGTAGCATAGGAATTAAACTTGAGATTTTCTCTTGCTATGAGAGTACTTAAATTTTCACACTACATGTTTACACTACATCTGCATTGAGTATAGAGGCACAACTATGTCTAAGCATTTTCTTGAAAAAGAAAAATATATGGATTTGGGCCTCACGTTATGCTAATTTTTTTCGGGGCAATACTTTCAAAATATGATCATATAGTTACCTCATACGTTTCACCAAATACAATGTCGATCTTTAACATTTTTACGTAGAATTACACCCACACCTTTTGCGCAGTGTTTCCTGAGGTCTGCATGAAGTCCACCCTGTATAATTGGATAGAGATTCTGTCGATCCTTATTTTGATGTGCCCGTAGACTGCGGTCAAGCCATCTGTAATTAATATCAATGGTTAGAAGTACTGCATTATCTCTACATTTGATCTTTCGCTCTAAAGTAGGTAGGATAAAGCTTAATTTTGTGCCTTTGAAACTTTTATTTCGGGACCACAATAAATTAAATGCCCAATTTTAAAAGCTAAATCATCACATTTAATTACAGGAACCCGTCTACGTTCAGTAACCAAAAAACAACGTGATTTAAATGTGTGTGCATATAATTCATATTCAGGCTTGAACAATGGCTTTGTTGACGCTAAAAATATTTGGAGTTACAAGCAATTTTTTGTCTATTTGATGAACTCGAGCTTGACTGCCAATTGAACACGATTATAGAACAATAACTTTCTCTTGCTTTCGATAAGCTCATAGATATTCAGAACTTAGATCACATACAGCTAGTAAAATGCATGATCTGCCCCACCAACAGAACAAGACCAATGGAATTTTCTGTAAGAAGGATAGCAGCTTAGTTAATCTTCCAGCAAAATAGACTGACGCAGAAGTTCAATGGGGTCTAAGTCGAGGCAGTTGCTAAGCGCAGTTTACATACTTTTGTACTTTTCCCTAAAGCCGCACACTCGTATCCCTATAGAAGCAGTCTTTGTGGAGAATGTAGAACGTATTTCATGGTATGTCAGCATGTATAGTAATTATCATTCTCTTAACATCAATATAAGCCGGAAACAAAAACAGTACCGTATACTTCGATGCATGGCAATTTCAACACGATTACGATCTGTTACGGTGCTTGAAACAACATCATCCAGTTGCATCATTATGTCTGCTCCAATCGAATTCTGAATTTCCATTGACTTTTCAGGACTAAGCATAATCTCTGCGTTATCGTATGGTGAAATGAACATGACACCCTCTTCTGTTACCTTTGATAGCTTGATCAAGCTAACCATTTGAAAGCCGCCACTATCCTGAAATTAGAAGTAGCTATATAATATATATAAAGGTATAATTTCGGTTAGTTAAGAAATTGGGCATTGTTGTATGATTATAATCTACACCTATGATGGTTCTCTAATTGGTATAATCCTTGCAGGTTCCCGTGAATTCTTGAATAGTCTTCAATGGAAACAGTAACGCGTATCATGTTTTTCAGATGCAATTTTTCAGAGAGCGGAAGCGAATTACTAAGATACTTCTTTGCGCTAGTAGTATATTTGTTAATCGGGACCGTAAGGGAATATTATATTCATTTCAGCCCCAATGAAACCTGCTTTCCAACTTACGGTGAGTAGAGCATTATTCCATCGCATAAATTTGTGGAGACCGCCGGCTTTGTTAATGACTTCTGTGCCAGGTCGCATCCCCAAGTGGTAGGTATTTGCGAGAATCAGGTTACAATTTTGCGCTTCAATCTGAGCAGGTAACATGCCTTTGAGGGTGCCCTGGGTGCCAACAGGCATAAATACAGGGGTATCTACCTTAGCATGCGGCAGTGTAAGAACTCCTAAAAATATGAAAATTTATATCCTAGTAATAACAACAAGAAAATCTACTCACATTCTGTGAGCCACACAAAGGTGGCACTATCTAATCTAAATTATTATCCGTTTTCACTGAATACCTGTCAATCTGTATTGCGCATTTTAGGTTGCCCATGAAAATAACCTAAGGATTCGCACAAATCCGGTGCACATTTCAGCTAGACAGGCTGCTCTCCGTATAATTTGTACTTTAGTCTCCCTCACTCTTTATACTACGTCTATTTTCTGTCGTACAATCGGTTTACCGGCTCGTGCTTTTGTTATCGAGCATTTTGCGATAACTTCAAACTGTAAAGGATGCTTAGACTTCGGGCCCATTGCGAAATTTTTCGGTACTAGAGCAGATGACACAGCGAGTGTTCGCGAGCGAAAATTCCGTACAATTGGTAACAACAGTGCAACACCAGGTTCGTCTGTTTGATCAGTTTTACAATCTACCACATTAGTGGCGGCCTTGCAGCCCGTCGAATATCACCCTTCATCCACATCGATAAACATGTTGTTTATATCGGTATTAATGCGGCAAGCCTACCAGCAATGATAGCAGACGATTTCAGCGCGAGCATCAAGCTTATTATTGGAGAGGGCACGAGGAAGAAAACTGGAGCAGAAGTCTTCATAGGAAGAAGTCACGAGAGTTGAACATCATGATATTAATATAGTTATCGCACTTTATTTTATTCAGTGTCTAATAAAACCGAATAAATTATGACTTCGTTAATAAGCGTAATTAATTAAAAACGTATATCATTAAAATTAGCAAAGCGAAATTAATTTCCAAAATAAAAAAAAAACAATTCAGTTGTGATTAGTAATCGGATGCATCAGTAACTCACTTTCGCTTGACTAATGAAATACTATAGCTATATGTATATATTTTTTGTAATAAGTTGTACTCTACTTGAATGTCTAGCTTCGAGGAACTCAAACAAAGCGTCTTTAATTGCCTGCAGGCCCGTAGGATTTTATTCAAATGAATAGATGGATTTCCGACGTACATTTTTTATTTTGCTAGCCCTTAGCAGCGGAGAAGTGAATAAACTAGTTATATGCGATGGTGGTCGTACGGTCGGTGTGCAGGTAATGTTTTTCATAATATAATTCCAGACGCTATATTCAGATTGGCCCCAGCATTTTTACATGGCTCTGGGAAAAATAGTCTCAAAATGGCAGTACGAGTAAACGTGAACCCTTGCTCACCCGTTAATATAAAATTTTATCTATAAAATATTGTTGCTGTGATAAATGCAATCTTATTTTGTTTATTTAATCTCTTGCGCGTATGGCCATTTTTAAGGTACATGCGTTCTGCAGCGTTCATGTATGTGCTTTGATTACAAGCAAATTGCATATATAATTTTCCAAATTAAAAACAATAATTAAATATGAGCGAAGAGTTCATTCATTGAACCACGTTCATCTGGCGGCATGAATAACACCTTTTGGCTACACTGTCGGTACGCTCCAACTTTAATGTCGTCGACAGTTGTGCGGATATCCGAAGAGCGTCCACGGCGCCATATACCTCTTTAACTGAGGTTGACTTGACGTCTGTTGGTGGTGTTAAAGAACCGTCCCAAAAGCAATATCCACATAAATCACATGTTACGCTATTTGTTGACAGAGCCGAGACTTTATCGGCTGTTCGCCAAATAGTCGGAACCGTACTCGGGAATTCTGCCTGTAGACCGTTCACAAAGTCCCTAGTTAAACGTTGGATACCAGCCGGTAACTTGGGTGTTACTGGTACGGGTAAGTCGCCTGAGAACAAATATTTTTCAATCTGTAAATAGTCAGAGAACAATCAGAGAACAAACGCGAAACAAATTAATTATTGTTGTTTTCAAGTCTTAAATAGAAGGAGTTGAGCTGCAAAGCAAAATGATTCAAATCATAAAAGTCATGTTTACTAGTCAGCTGAAGTAAATTATCAAAAAAAGCTTCGGGTCAATAGTTATTATGAATTTATGATCAGAATGTATACTTACTTACGTCTCTGCCACTTTACCTCTACTATTGTTGCTATAACGGCTCAGAATGCGGGTAAAATTTTAGCAATATGTACCACTTGTGACACTCACATACTTAATTAAGTTCTCAAACGGACGTTGCAATGAGTCAAATTCTCGTAGATCTAGAGAAAAGTAAATTCTTTTTCTATTTGCTTATTTCATAAAAGCCGATTGGTGTTTCAGTGCTTTGCGTTCTGCTAGTTCACTGTTCTGACAAACATTTTGATCTGGCGCATGATATGAAACCAATACAACGCGTAATGTAATGGTTAGGTTAGGTTATGTTTATACGCTAATAATACCTCCTCATCAGAAAATTCTCTCAAAGGTCGAAGCAGAGTGACGCCATCCCGTTCAACGCTAAGCCCGGTAATATCAGGGAGTTGGCACCCTCGACCTAGGGCTACCGATATCAACATCTGTTGGGCCAAATCGCCGCCCGTCTCGCATGTGAACACCTATGACCAGATTTAAAGAGTAAAAAATAATTGTTTATCATCAAGATAATTTATCAAAATTCTTTTGAATCTAGTTCCTGTAGAGCCATCGATTCTGAATAGCTGACAGATACGCATGCATATTTTTCTAGTTTTCAGTTAAATAAAGCTCAAAACTTATAAATATATTATTAGTGGACATTTGCTCAATACAAGTCCCATTGATCAATATATGTCTGGTTTCTACATTTAATGCTATAAACAAATAGAACAAAATACCAACTTTGTTAAAAGAATTGGCCTTGGCAAATTGGATAACGGCCTTGAGTGCCTCGATGGCCTGGTGAGCCATGCGAAGGGTGGAGTTCCGCTGGGGCGGAGTGTCTACTGGCGAAGTAACACGGTGAAGCTGAGCAGAGGATCCGAAATTTGCCAGGTCGATGCTTTCTGAAAATTTGATCAAAAAATGTTTAAGATCAATTACGTCAAGCTATACGCACACATTATTTGTAAAATTGATCTATCCTGTTAGATTCTTTGAGACATACTGAAAATGTTCAGTATGTATAAGTTTATCACTACATGTTGTTGTAGCATACGTTTGTGTGTCTTTACCTTGTTGTCCATCGATGATGGCATATTCGAAGTCGAACTGAAGTTTTTTATGTAGTGTATCTTGACGGCTCTCTTCAAGTAGTGCTACAGCTGCAACAGCGCCTAGCGGAGGCGATAACCAAACCAGAACACGATCACCCGGAATAATCTTTTTCGATTTGCCTATTGTGGCTCTGTATGCAAAAATAATTCAAATACTGTCATTCGAACAGGTAATATATGATGATAATTATAATTAATAGCAATTCAGTAATAGTTTTCATTCAAATACCTGAATTTGTGTCGACAAGTTTCTTGGTAACAGGACAAACAGTATCCATTGACGCGTCTTATAACCAGTACTGCTGGGCCCTGACAGCAAGTACAGTTTCGGGTTTTGGCGGCTTGCGCCTCATCCAGGGGATGCTGAAGTAGCAATTCAGGATTACCAGAGTTCGAGCACATCGCGTGGATGCAACCGGAAGCGATTAATTTGGAACGAGTAATTGTTGGCAGGTGTACTGTATAGATAACGTCCTATTACTCTTACAGTAAGCTCTTTGCATTCTCAACCATTGTCAAGCATGACTGGTACGCATTGAACTCCAGATCAGTCTAACAATAGTATTTTGATATCTACTCACAGCCATTAAAGATTCAGTTCACTGGACTGAATTTCAAGTAGCGAACGTTTGATCATTTCGATACAAAGCTGTCTATCACACAGAAAACTTGCAGACCGGGTAAGCTTTATACGGCAAGAAAACAAGCTCTATCTTCTACACGCCAAAGTTATAAAATTAATAAGAGAACAACAATTAAAGAATTCTTGTCATAGTTTTGACTACATTTTACGAAAAATTAAACGAAACGCCTATTTTTGTTTTATTTCGAGATTCTCCCGCTTAGCAGTACCAATGGTATATGTGAATCGAATCCAAACAAGAGACATAGCTAGTAACTTCACAGCCAAGCTACCTGTTTGCGGAGTGATATTGTGATGATACCACGAAAATAATCAAATAGTTGAAAAGCGCCGCCGTGCTGGCATATTATCGGCGTCGGCTACCGGCTAGTTGTAATCGATGTATCCTAAGACTGAGCTTTTTCAATTGAACTCGACTAACGGGCGGATCTAGATTGCTGTGCATAATGAGAGAGTCGACAATAGAAGAAGGGGCGATCGGTGCGATAAACATGCAAGCAGGTTACCATGTGCGATACCATGCCACTGAGAATTTATAAAATTAATCAGTTTATTTATTTATAAGAGAATACGTTCCGCTAGCTAAACTTTGTACGCAGTTTATTATAAATCGTCGCGCGGGTAATTCCACTAAGCGCTAGCATAAAATAACCAAACCCGCTGAGACTTCAAAGATTAAAACTTGTAACTAGGTGATATTTTTAATATTCCTTTGTATTTGAATTTTTATTATTGCATGCTTATAATTACTTTATCATATAATACTATGTTTTAATTATTGGTTCAATTAGTGCTTTTAAACGTCATTTGCATAAAGACTGTAGAACAACGTGCGTCGCATTGATTTTCTTATGAATAATCTTCTAGTATGTACAATCATTCTGCACCTAGAACTCCAATTAGGGCGAAATATTGGTTTTCAAAACTGAGTTTTCTTACTATTCGTTTTTAAGTATCTCGTGCACAGAAAATTCTGCCAAATCTTAACAGAACCTTGCTTAGCAGAAAAGTGAGGTAAAAATTAATCCTCAACTGTATAGAACTAAGCGGTTACTATCAACATTATGATTATATTCGTTACAAGGAGGCTTTACTGCACATCGTTGTATTTTCTTCCAGGATTGGGTTTTTTGTTTCAGAACGTTAGAAGCTGTTGGAATGGTACATATGTTGACCTTATACTCTTTTGAACCTGAACGCAGCAGTGAGCTACAACTATATGAGATTGATACACGCTGCTGTCTCTGACAAATGGCTCCGAGTGCTCAATTTAAGAATAAATATGAATTTCGACAGCTATCACGTGTGACAGGATAATTACTTGATCAACTCATGCACGCTTCAACTTCGTCTGGTGTATTTTTAGAAAAAAAACAGGTTAACAAAATTGAAATCATCTATTATGTCTTCTATAGGTGTTGAGGGGATTCAATAAAGGTATGTCAGATTTGAAATGAAGGTCTACTTCGCAGGCTAAAATAATACTCGTTACGACTTCAAGCTATGGCGTGCTTAGTGAAAGTATGTTGTACAAAGACCGTTTACCCCACTTCAGATCGATCTGATTTCCTTTCAAAACATATTTTTGTTGAAGTGCTGCAACCGATAGACCTATGTTTAAACCGGCTTAGCAATGATGATACAAAAAGTAATAGTGATAACAATTGTACCCTTTGAAATTTTCAAAGAAGGTTATAAAGGTAAAAAAATGACTGCGTCACTGATCTACTTAATGCGAAATCGCTTATAAAGAGCGAATAATCATAATTCTAAACTCACTTGTTTTAACTGCTATATATCGTTTAATGGATTATAAAAGTAGGTGTGAATCTATATCTATATACACCTGTATATATCTTCCAAAGCTTCTTATCTTTCAGTAACAAAGTAAGTCATATATAGTATTGACAATACCGGCGTAGTTTTATACAAAACACAATGTTATTGGATGACATAACAGCTGAGGATAGCTAAGCTCGTACAAATATTTGTACATCCCTCAGAACTATCAGAATTACGCATGCATCTTTGAGTAGGAACTTTACCTATATAAAATATTCTTAAGCATAGTTATTCACCATCCATGTTGACGTCCGTAGTTGCGGCTATTCAGATTTCAGATGATTTTACAATACGGATCAGCCGATAAATGCAGGTGTGGATGCAAGTCTATGCCAGTCATGTTGCTTGATTGATCGGTATATATTTGGTTAACGGACATATGTGTCCTTTGAATTCGTTTTAAACGTTCGCATTTGAAGAATCGTGTCTACAAATGTCACGATCACATATACTGTCATTCTAAAATGTATATATATATATATATATATAAAGTGTTTCGTTATATATTGACAACTTCAAATTGGTATACATTTTTTGCAGATATGAAACCTGAATTGTCTAACAATTAGGATTGCTATCGCTGTCATGCTATTTACAAATTTTGATTCCACGATCAAGGTCTAAGCTGACATCTTAGTACAATGTAGATCGTGTCTGATTTAGGGGGAAGCTAAGCTGGAAATCGACGTTTCTTTAGAATCGTTCCTACGTAAGCATGCACATAAATACGGGTGTACCTCTTTAGCATGAAGCACAAAACATGGGCCACAAGATAAGAGGTCATTGAGAGGAAGGCAACAGCCAGGATTCTTTAATCCCCCTAGACTCAAGTTTTTAAGCAGATAGTAAACTACGATATCACGTAGCTTGGTCAGCTGCTGAAACTCTTGTTTGGCTCCTGTTCCATGACGACGCTACTTGGCTGAAATTGTTGATTATGCGCTCTGATCTGGCGATTACCGCCACCGTGGCCATGATGACTATTGTGATTGCTGTGGCCACGTCGACCATTGTGGGACGCGCTATTAGTCAGGGGTTGGCGATTACGCAATTGCGGGCAATAGCTCTTAGTATGGGCTCGATCCCCACCGCCATTGTTGCATAGTGGACAATTGTAAGCGCGCAATACGGGGCAGATTACCCTGCCGGTTGTGTCACGAAGAGTGTGACTCTTGTAGAACTCTTCTGATTCTTTGTTGTTTTGGCAAAATTGGCAAAAGTTCCAAACGACGCGACGGTTACTCGAACGGCTATAGTTCGTATTAGATGAGATGGTTGTTTGCTGCGAAGCCGACGGTTGTTGCTGTTGAGGCTGTGATTGTACGTTTGCAGATGTAACGGCAGTTGCTGTGTATTCCATGGGAACATGCTGATACGCCATACCTGCTGGCATCGCTGAGACATTGGCGATCGCAGCGTGGTGCCGCATTGGTGTAGGCTGTGTTTCCTGATAGTACGCCTGCATCGGCATGTATACAAACGTAGCTGGCGGATAAGGTTGAGTCACAGCAGTCGGATGCGTTGAATCAGAAGTATGTTGAAACGTTGGAGTAGCTGCCACCGTCGCGGCGTAGTGATGAGCTTGCTGGTAACAGGTGGCAGGTGGCGGAATGAGTTGGTAGTATGGCACACTCGTGGCTGCAACATGTTGCATATGTGGAGTAGCAATATGAGTCTGCTGGACGACGTTGATCATGCTACCTTCAAACATGCCCATATCGGCCAAGGGAATGTTTGTCTGCTCGGCCGCGATCATGACTAGGTGTTCCTGACCGTGCACCAATTCGGCGTTCTTCTCAGCTAACATTGTAGGAACGTAGGACTTCTCATCGACTGATGTCAAAGGTATGCATGGTTTGGGGTCGTTCAATTGAATAACCTCTTTAGCAACTTGGTGCTCTGCCACAACCATCTCGTTAACCATTGAGCTATGTTTAGTAGATCCTGAAATTAGTCTACCGTACACTATCAATCCGACGGCTTCCTGAAAAGACAGACACACAACGCGCGAGATTAGTGATTCGTAAGTATATGCATACACACATATGTCTGTTACATACTGCTGAACGCTGTTACACATTGATACTAGAAGGAAACGTGGAATAAACGTTTAGTCTCAAAAACGAATCGGGAAACGCACCAATCATACCTACTCTAGATGGTAATGAATTTTAGGCTAACACGCATAGGACAACGATACCTGATGCCCTCATGTTGAAACATGTGCGCAAACAATAGTCGATGCAGTGACCCCCAACATAGATGCGTCTATCGACAATTTTAATGAACAACTAACGAAATGCCCATCCATGACATTAGTTATCTATTGTACAGGCGAAAATCCAGGAATAGGTATGGATAAAATTCTATTGGCTGACGGAGTAAAGCACTGCATGGATTGTTCCGTGTGATCTGACGGTGAAATTCAGGCTACGCTTTCAAGCCGATTCATGGTGACTTTGCAAGAGATAGCTGACAACCATTCCGGTTCCTATGCCCAAACTACCTATACCGACTACGGAAGAAAAGGTTCACTTCAGATTCGAAAAGTACGCATAGTAAATTCGCAGAAAAAGAAGGCTCAAGGTCCAAACATTGGCCAAGTAGTGTGCCAAAACTCTAGTTTTCATCGATGGACGTTGGCGTTACTAATGCATTCTAGAAAATCTACAAAAAACGTTGTCGCATCGCACTTTCTGTAATTGTCCACTGAATGGTATTGTTGGTTTAAGAGCAAAGAACGCCTAAGCTGTTAGACCCAAGGTAAATGGATATGTCACGTTGTACTTACCCACAATCGACCTTAGGTTCCCCGCTTCGGAGGACAAGTGCCGTCTTCTGCAAGCACCGCGATGGCTGGTCAATTGAACATGGCGCCCGGGCAGAGGAGGGCAACGAATCCCGTTAATGTGGACATGTCCACATCAACGTCACGTCGTTCACGAACGTAATCCAATTAATGTACTGCATAGCGCAATGCAAATCGAGGTTGGAAAAAGTGCGAGAGCACGTTTCCGTGCCCAATATATAGATAGATACAGTATGCTCGTCCAAGAAATTAAATTTGACTGGATCATGAATCTGTGTCACTTGATGAAATCCGTTTACAAAGAAGCTTCGACAATGATGGCCTCACATTAAGGAGAATTAGAAATTAACATATCTGGGACATGCGGTAGAACGGTGCATAACACTACACAGACTTTGCTTTGAATCGGAGTTGTTTCAAAGCCCATTCTATCCTTCTGCATACAAATACCCAAAATTAATCTAAGAACATATCATGCACAGCATGCGGAAGTCATGGCACACTTTACGTAAGCATTCGCACAATTATAAAATCTATCGTGCGTGATTGCCGTTTTCAAACCGCTAGTTCACATATGTGAATGCCCTATATATATATATATTTGGAACAAAAGGTTTAATAAGACAGTTAAGCACAAAGGAATATGATCACGTAGTAAACCATATTTATGTTATTTTCTTCGCAAAAATGGCTTTATGCTTGTATCCCGTAATATTTGTATTCTGCTGACATGCTCTCGTACCTTTAGGGCGTTTTATTCGTGATAAAAGCTTCGTTTTATAATAATTATGATGATGACGATGGTTGTCATTATCCATGTAATTTGCAGCCACGGCGTCTAACGTGTAATGGCGTGCTATAAAAATTGAAAAAAAAAAACGAAGTGCGGTGATGATTGGTGGGAATAGTCTGTAACACGCCAAACACGGAGGTCATCAGACATTTTCAATCAACTAGAAAAAGAAATATATTTCACTGTTGGTCAATTTACAACAAGCTTTTGTATCTCGTTGGCTGATTTGCTGTCCCGGTTTTTCAACAACAGCGGCGCTGTACACGGCTAGTAGATGAAGCTAATTCTGAATAGGACCTTCAGCTCTAGAAGGCGCCTTAGACATACAGGCTTTAAACGGTCGAAATTGTCAAGCTGTTAGGTGTCTCCAAGTTAGAACATTTTTTTGGAGCCATAAGAGCTACTTCTGTCATAAGTAGGACGAATGTTGTTCTTAAAAAGAGCTTAGCGGAATTCTAAATTTTAGTAGTCATGCTTCTCTCTCGCGTTTCTCGTTCCAAGGGATCCGCTAGAGGGTGTTAATGTTATTCTAGAGAGGTGAAAGAGTTGACACTTAATTTTTCCACCTGTTAGCCGCAGTTAATCGAACACTGCTGCGTAAATGCCTCGCTGGCGCAATTACATTACACGTTTTTTAACGGTGTGTTGAAATTGCAGCTTTGACTGAAAGACTTAATCTGCACGATGTCCTTATATACATTAATTTATTCTTTTAAAGTACGTAGATTACACATAATTTCACATTATTGCGATATAAACGAATTCGAAGAAAGCAGCAGTTTTTAAAAAATGCTGACCGAGGGTCATTGATGACAGCATGGAGGTAATCCTTCAGTCTGGTAAGGGTACACGAAAGTTATTCAAAAATGTCGACCAAGACATAAACGTATAATGATTTGTTTAAAAAGTTTACTGTTTTTTGAAACAGTATCAGCGAACGTATCTTCGTAGTCGTAATAGTTTATATTATCATCATAGCCCTTAGTATTATAGACGTTATCGTATCGTAATGCTTTCTAAATATGTTCGTTTAGGTTTTTTGCTGATTTAAGGCTCCCCGATTTAAAACTATTAAAAATAATCAGAGGTCCTGACCTAACTATAATATAACAAACACAAAAAAGCTCATTGTCCCCGTCCTACGTCAATCGGCCTATGTGGTAAAAAAGTGTTTATACTCTATGTCTAGAGCAAGCTGAGCTCGAAATAGAAGATAGACAGATTAGAGATACACTGTTATTTAGTTCATATCAAGTTATACTGTCCTTTCTAAGAAGTACAATTAGATCCTCATGTATTCTTAGCAAATATTGACGCAATGATACGGTACGGTACGCTTCTGAATATAATACATAATTTGTGATGCAAATTCTACGTTCCGAATTCATATCAGCTAATTTCAAGTTATCAACAACGCACGGTGCCGGGGCTCCGCGCCCGACCATGTTAATTTTATTTTAGCCGCCCTGCACCTGCCAGCCAAAACGCGCCTATCATCGTATCGCCATAGTAAATTCGAAAGCAAAGAGAATCAGAGGGACGAGAGAGAAAAATATCAGGCGAGACTGAGCTAGGTTGGATAGGTGGCCATTTTATGGGGCGCGCTTAGATTTATTCCTTCTGAACGACACTCAACCGAAAGCCACGATAGAAACTGCTTTCGACGTTTCATGTATGTCTAGTGAGTCCTAAACACTGCTTTTAAATCCAGGCGCCACCTTCAGTAGTTTGGCTTGCTGACTAGGTAACAAGATCTACAGAGGACCTGCAGGATAGAATCAACTTGGTACTATGCGTATGAGGCCATCACTTCCGGGTGAATGCCTACGAAAGCCTGGATCAGCGAGCGCCATCGGTCTGGGGAACCTCGCAACTGCGTTAACTGCCGGATACGAAAACGCGGCTTATGACGCCGCTTTCTCTTAACGGCACCTCCCCTTCCTTGCGTCTTAGCCCTTCGCGCTGTCGCCTTGGCGTTAGGTTAGAATAAGATTAAGCAGTATATGTACTCTATGGGTAGTCATGGCTTCGTGGCCGCCATCGATACAGCAGCTCCTCTTTTGGTTCGCGGTTTCGGGTTCAGCCATAGTTCGGTTCAGTTCAATCTTCCCTGTGATAGTAGTGCGTATACACGCACACCCACGTCAGGCACGTGTGTCTTCATAGATCTCGTTCATGGCAGTAGCAACATCTACTCACCGTTCAGCCTCGCTGTCCTATTGCTATTCCTGACTCCCTCCTGTCCTGTCACCTTTGATCCGTTTTTTTTCTTCATGTACATATAGTTTGACAGAATCTGCTCCTAAGCTCCTGCAGTGGTCCCTGCTTACAAGGGACATACACACCAAAGTAAAGACAAGTCTCTATACATTCTTAAAGTGAGCCGCCGACAGTCATAATATAATGGTAGAATGTGGTGGAACGCTTAGGTGTTTATTTTCTGATGCGTTAATAGGACCAGCGTATCAGACTCCCAAACTCCTGAGTGCTTCTGAGCGTTCCGGTGCGAAAGCGAACGGGCGACAGGGTAGTTCAAGTTTATTCGGCGTTTGAGTTGCCTTGGTGTTGAGCTTGGCCCTTTCCCTCAGGAGTTCAGGGTGCCCTTTCCTGAGTTTCCCGCCGGCGACATCGCCTGTCTATGGGGGGGGGGGGGGGGCGAGAGGCGCAACCACAACATCGCTGCCCCTTGGAGCTGCGACGGCCTCCGCCAACGCGAGGATAGGTGAGCCTATCTTGGCCTAACCGAGCCTAGCTGGCTCTTTCTTCCAAGCTCAATGCAACTACACAAGCCTTTGTGTGCACTATTCCATCCTATGTCCTTTCGTTTCTCATACGTTTTGTCGTGCGTGCGCCGCGCTGCGCTATGCGAGGAAATTGTATCGAGCAGTGCTGTTTTTATTTTAGAGTGAACCTTCGATCTTTTTCTGCAGACTGCAGTGAGTGATCACGATAGCAAGGGGTCTTTCTGCCAGAAGTTGAGTAGATCCGTACAAATTCCGGCTGGCATCTTGTCTGTAGAGAAAGTCAAACGCTAAGACGAAGTGAAGTTCGATCCTACGGTACAGAGTAATAGTGGGCCGCAGCTATGCGCGAGTGAACCGCATCCGAAGCACAGAGAACAGCAATTGGGCAAAGCTCATCTTGCGCTGCCTTGTCAGTGAAGCAGCTGGGTAGAAGATGGCGGCTGTGCACCCCGAAACGTTATCCACGGAGCCTCTTCCGACGGGATGGGAGACTCGTTACGACACGCGTACCAATCGGCAGTAAGTGTCCGAATATCTAGAGCTAGAAGTACAAATGACCTATGCTTGTTATGGTTCAGTATTCGAAATGCGCTAAAATTGCTAAATGAGGTTGACTGGATTGGTTAAACGAGACAGAATGATGATGATGATTTTTCAGAGGAAAAAGGTTCCTTTCCACTGAACTTTGAGTAAGCTATTAACATGAATACAAATAAAATTAGATAAAATGGTCACGCAAACCAGAGCTCGGACTTGAAGGGAAAAACCTGGCAGCCCAATATTCCGCTAACAGCGCGATCTAACGAGAGACCTTGCATTTATATTGCAGAGAAGTTTATCTCAGTTAATTTCATACTTTAAGCTTCATTTAAACGACTTTTTTATTCAGTGTGTAACTTGGCTCATTGGATATTGGTGGCCAAAACGAGACTCAATAACAACTTCATCTATATCTTGACTGTGAAAAATGTTTGTAAATAGCCTTTTCAAATTGATTTATTTATGAAGCCATTGAGAGAATTCGTTACGAACATTTGCTTAGAAAATTTACAGCCAGTTCTACCTGTGCTACAAATGGATTTTTTTAAAATCAAATTTATGATAGGGTTGTCAGACCTGAAAGACACACTCTCGAATCCTTACGTAGGCCGGTTTTCCGCAATGTTGTTTCCGATTGATTCTGAGACAGATTTAATACTCCTTTGTTAGAAAAACTAGATTGAAAACAGGCATCGAGCGGTTATCTGTGTTAAGATAGCTGCCACTAAAAGTAGTATCTACGTAAGTGAAATGGTACACATTTGCATTAACTGACGTAGCGGGTTGTGCAGTAGCAGATGCAAGGGAAAACACTTCTTCCTGTGTTCTTTCAGCGATATCTATATTTGAATGGTTTTCACCTGGCGGTACTAAACCTAACGACTTCTTCGTAATTTGTATTTACTTGATACTGTCTGCATAACTAAAGATTTACCTCATTGTTATTATTGATTGAGCGTTTGAGTAGCATTTTCGGCGGCAATGATAAAAAAAAATGTAATTTACCTTTAGAAATTAACATCGTGGTTAGTTCGTAGAGCATGCGGACGTTATCATCTTTAGCCAATAAATACGAAAGAATATATGTTCGTTGTCCTGCAAAGACGTTCGCCTTCGTGCGGTACGTTAGATTTTTACGTACGTCACAGTTGCGCACGACATTGTTTTAGCGATCTCTGTAAGTGCTTGTTTAAAGTTCATCTCACATTTGCTTTTAGAGTTTGTTATATATATCGTTTATCTGTCTTATCGTCTCGGTAAAAGGCTTGCACTAAATAGCTATCGTTATTAGTGGATTGTTGGCAGGAGCAAAGAGTCGCGTCTCAAAAAGAATTTAATTATTACTCATTTTTGTGCCAGGCTTAAACTTCTACGCACGATACTGATACCAATATTAATGAATCGCCCATATGTCATTGCAAGCGATGTTGTAGAGAATCGTCTCATCCCGTCTATGTTTTGCAGACCAGCAACAGGCTTCATCCTCTTTTTTTGCTAACAGATTATGCGATGCTGCTCCCCTTGCTCAGAGTTCCGGCGAACCTTCAAGTAGGCCCCACGGCCTTTTGCTTAATTAGTTGCCCTCATTTCTACTCCTTGTAGTTGGTCTCCGTCGCTTCCTGAAAACACAATTTCGCTAGCGATTTTTGTCCCTCCTAGCTGCATCCATCAAGTTCCTACTATTCTTTTCTTTTCTGTGTCTATTTCTCGCATCTCTATCTTGCAGCCACTTCTTTTGTGAATCTCTTTGTTTCGCCAGGGACTCCTACTGAGCGCTATTACGGCTGTGCGACACATTCTCAACAGTAGCTAAGCGACCGAGCCAGGAAGATGCGTTCGGTACTGCGCATAATAGTAGTGTTCGACCAGTCTTTTTTTGTGTATTCTATTGTCCTGATGCAGCTACTTACAAATCATTACGCATTCCTTGTGTTTTGCCATTACCATAAGTGCACGCGCGGTCTTGAGTTTCTTCCTATAGGTATGCTGATTCCGCCATGTTTATGATCACCAGACATCATCACCATCAGGGCAGTCCATATAGCTGGACTATATGGACCGAGCTGATGCTGTCGTGGAAGGTAACAGGGCCAAAATGCACGTAAGACGACAACGTAGCAACAGCAGATCTACGGCAGAACTCCGATAGAACTCAAAGACTTGTCTTGCGTTGCGGAAGTCTTCAGGCGAATGAAATTGAACAAACGTCAATGCGCGTAGGCGAAGGGACCCATCGATTTCTTGACCAGACTGTAGAACATCATAACTCATGACGTGGTCTCTTTTGGACATTACTGCACACTGCAGGCAACGCGCAATGAATAAAGTTGATATTATTGATCATTTGAGCATTTAAAAAATTAATTTGGGGAACCAAGAGTAAACATAGTATTATTACTAAATTATTACGCTATACAAGACTGACAGATAAACTGGAGCGTAGGCAAATAAAATGTAATCTCTCCAAATATGAACCCATCTTGTTCCGCATATTGGTACCGTATGTATATATTTTAGCGCTAGATGTAGTATTTGTGTTACACGAATTGTGCACGCACATAGCTTATCATGAAGCCAGCACCAGCTTTCTTACCGGCTTTTCCCGCCAGTGATCTGACCATCGAATGACATGCATCGATCGCCGTCGATTTACTTCACTTACTTGTGGTATCTGAAGTTACTTGGCCATTTTTAGTGATGTCAAATTATTTATTTAGTCGCCATGAGTATATTGATTAGGAAAACAAAAAACTAATTCCAGACTTGAGTGGTGGGTCTTGCTTTTAGCCCTGAGCTCGACTAATCTGAACGCATTGCTGAACAGATATGTTTCAATGATTTGCACTTTACATGATTAGACTAACGATGGCCTTAAACTAGGCGCCTTTTCTATTCGATAGATCCGTCCTGAGGACAAACGAATTTAGTAAACTAGTAGAAGCATTTTGCTATGCTGTAGCGTCCTGTGGTATCATGCAGCTACCGGCATCTCTAATTATTATTCGGATTGACTTGCTGCTAGCCGCATGAAACGTACATCCACACAAACACGATGATTTTTCGATCTAATGGCCAGCTTTGGCGTTATTCATAAGGTCAGAAAAAGTTACTTACCGTGTTTTCTATTATGGAAAAAAAACCTATATTAATGCCTATATTATACATGCACGTATTTGCATGCATCAACAGAAGGAAAGTATAGGCATAGCAATGCATAGATTTAATCATTGGATGTGAAGATCTCGCAAGCTGTGCGGTCCTACAGCTTCGCCGTGAAGTTGACTACTTCTTGACAATGGTCATTTAACTCAAAGGCATGGTATATTCAAGCGTTGTCTATTGGAGAGTGTGCCAAAAAACTGTGTTGCACAAAAGTAGAATAAGCTAATTGATGTTCTATTAGGTTAAGAATATTAGGCGTACGGCTAGATATGGTCTGGAAAGGGTGGCTTATAGGTAACATCGTTGAGGTAGATATACAACACAGGTTGCCCAAAGTAGCGGATCGGATGAAACGCTATTTCTGCTGCCAACTAAAAACTTGAATCTGTTTCAGTGATCAAATGTCGGTTGCCCATAGCAACTTACCTCTGCTCTTGTATTAGCATATACACGGGGCTGCTTAATGTTCTCTATTTAATAACAAAAAAAATAACCAACATTATTTATTCAGTACAAAATGCATAAGGTTTTAAGCAAGAGTTTTTTTTGCTCTCGTTTAAAAAGAGCAAAACAAAAATATATAGTGATGAGGATGGATATGTCGTACAAGCTTGCAAATCAACGTATTTTCTAACGTTACAATTAGAGGTACACATAGATGAAAGGGCGGTTTTTTCTATCTTTCTGCGGGGCAGCGGGTGTCCTTAACCATGTGAACACCTTTTATAAGATCTGTCGACGGTTACGGGACGAGTGGGGAGGAAGGTGGAGTCAACAATGGAGCAAGGCGTCACTATATCGTATAACATCGTAGGAAATAGTCCGAGATGAGAACAATACAATATGTACCCAACTATACATTGCGAGCATCAATGACCATCCTGAAAGATATGAATATATTCGTCCACAATTGGTGTCCCGCACGAACATTTAGTGAGTAGATATCTTCTCATATTGATTCGACGAACACCACAAAATGAGAGCAGTATAAATCGGGAAGTTTGCACAATGTAAGCTTTTATTGATGCCATCTTCTTCTGCCTTGCACGGAAGTCCAACATCAGGAAGCTACGTTTCTTTGCTGATCTTAGAAGAGCTTTTCCGGATGAAGCAAGAAAAGCACCGATCCGGTTTTGTCAATGCTTAGTCCACTAGATGTGGGCAGCGCCAGCGCTGGAGGGACATTATGCATCTTCCCCCTGAGGAAAGGTTTCGCAGTCTTGAATCTATGGCTTTACTATAAATCTAGCCCTCTATCGATTATGTGAAATGTGGTAAGAATATATAGCTTACTCTGTAGCGTTTTGCATAGCACATACTATATACTTGAATAATTTGAAACCATTTAGATTGGTAGAATAACTCAAATATTATACACTTTGATTATATAAGACTGTTACAACGAAACCTGACATACTTTGAACTTGAGTGACCTTTGAACTATTTGGGCTAGAAGAACAATTTTATCCCAAAGTGCTCTGGCGGCTCCCATACAGCCAAATACCGACAATTCATATTCCCACATGTGATTTTTCTATCTGCGGCTTCTCGAAGTAAATCGTTAGCGAGATACATTTGCCCAATATTTCCGCCTTTTAACGCGCGTAATCATACGGACTTAGGTTTGGCAAATAAGCCGATTGAAGTCAACGTTAGATATTCCTTCGATCAATCCAGAAAGTAATTGAGGTTCGGCGATAAGAATTAGTGCTGTCATCAAGTTACCAGACTGCCGTGCCAACGGGTTATGAGATCCTCGAAAAACTTGGAGTACCGGGCTGCATTCATTGTTTTATTTGCGGCAAATATGTCATAGC